AAACCTAAATACTAATAATAATAAAAATACATTATATTATATATAATTTTTTTATTATTATAATTTTACTCCTTCCTCTCTTCCTTGGCATGTTGTGAAATTTCTGATAGTTGGATAATAAACCGTTTTATTGTAATTTGTCTTTTTAAATTACAGTAGAGCATCGATTATCCGACTCAATTGGGGACTCAGGTTGGTCAGATAACTGAAAAAATCGGATAACCGAAAAGAATGAAAAAAATACATTATTAGTATATTAGGATATCCCATGTAATTAGTATATCACTATTAACCAACTTTGCATTGAATTTTCATCGATGTTTAGCCTAACAAATTTTTTAAAAATAATAATCGTCACTATTGTATCATTAAAAATTATTTTTAAATTATTTTATTGCTCACAAAACAAACAACCACTCATAATTAGAAAATTAAGTCTCATTTACATACTGGCCTCCCTTCAATGATTGAGCTGGTGTTGCCAGCTAAAACATGCAAAAATTTAACAAAAATAATATTAAAGTAGCCAAGACATAGCCAAATATTGTAGCGCCACATTACTAGCGGACATTTAAAATTTGCCGACTAGAACGGTCAGTTAACCAATGTGACGGTTAATCGGGGGTCAGATAATCAATGCTCTACTGTATTTTGAGTTGATATTAAAATTTGGAAAAGGGGGATCCCTAGATCGGTAAAACAGGCAAATTTCCTCTTACAACTTTGGTTGTTGTTCGGGATACAGTTAAGATTTTAACAAAGTTCAAGCGAATACGTAATTAGCAAAAAATAGTTGAAATAAAGTGATTGAACAAAAATTATTACAAATATCGTAAATAACAGTTCACAAATGCATATATAGAAATATTTTTTGGAGGGGGAAATGGTCTTCACAATTTGAAATCCATCGATCTCACGATGAAATGCTAGTATACACTCTATCATAAGATCATGGCATCTATCATAGGATAAATGTACTATGCCAGAAATGGAGTGTATTAAAAACTTTCCGAAGCTTCATGGCACTTGTACTATGCCAGAAACCTTCACAGGAGTATATTAAACAACTTCCCAAAGTTTCATGGCAATCAGATAAATGGTGTGGTAATGCATGGACAGACAGACACACACACACACACACACACATTCATTTTTATATATATAGATTTCAAAATTGATATTGATAATGTGAGATGTATAATCAAATGTGCATGACTGTGTACACTAAGAGTACATTGTATACAATACAAATATTTAAGGAATAATAATACCGAAATTTTAACATTTGAAATATTTTGTTTTATTTTTTGTAATATGCATAAGATTTTTATATAGAAAAATTTCGAATTTCTGTTCGTCAAAAAATTTATAACTCAAACAAGACATTTTTTAAATTTAAACAACTGTAAAGTATGACAATTATTTTATAAATTAAAAAAGAAAAAAAATCATTAAAACAAAACATACAGATTCACTGTTGTCATATTTTTTCAGAGAATTCATAAATTCTAATTGTTTCTTTTCCTCTTCTAATTGGGCCACTGTTTGTTCAGATGCTTGTAATTTTTGCTGAGTATTTGCTAATTCATCTCTTAACCATGCATTCTCTTGACAAAGCCTTCGCACTTGGGCTCTTAATTTTTGTTTTTCTGCTTCGACAGTCTGTAAATGACCAGCTAAAGCCACCATTACCTGTAAAATAAAACTTATTTTAAAATATTAATGTAAGCATATATTTAATTTTAAAAAATGTCCTTATATTTTTATAAGATAGGATACCAACTTTCCACACACAAATCATAACTATAATTTTGTAAAATCTTGTATGCTTTATACTTTCATTTCTTACATTTAACTTAATTAAATGAATAACAAACATTTTGAAAACAAATAACCTAAAAACAATAACTTTAGTAATTTAGTATATTTTTTTGATACTGCTTATTTTTGAATATTTTTAAAGTTGTTGAGTGCAGTGAGTGAAGTGAGCAAGCTTCCTTGGCAGCAACTCAAATTGACAAATTGCTGAAACACACTTTGTGATTCAATTGATTTCAATGAAATTTTGCACATTAATAGAAGTAATAAAATGATTTGTGTTCTGTATGTTCCTTTAAAATAAACATACAGAACAAGCAGCCAGTCACTGCACTAGCAATGTATGTTATAGCAGACTTGACAGAGGTCACAGTGGATTGGGAAAGAGCTAAAATAATACAAAAAATCTAGGACAAGAGACACCTCAAATATGCAGAAGAATGGCAAATACACAAGACAAACCAAGAAGGATTAGTGATAAACTTCAGAGAATTGAGTAAAGTCTCAGCGGAATGGAGAGTGGGCATATGAATATTTTTAGTATGGAAAAAGAGACAAACAGTTAAAGAAGTAGGCACGATGGTGGCCTTCTTTATATTAGCAGTTGTGTTAATGTATTTATTTACTTATTTATTTTATTTATTTAGTTCTTCTTATTCATGTAATATATGTATGTATAGTTTGTGTGTATATTGGTACAAGTAACCTGTATAGATTGTAATTCCTTTTGTATGAGCCTGTGCACGAGATATCTAAGAAAATTCAAATGTTTAAAAACTTCCAAAACAAATTCCATTATACAAATCAGAATCATTTAATTTTTCTGTTCCTGAAGAAGACCATTCAAACTGGCTGTAAACATTTGGAAAAGTGAATAAAAGGCTGAATTTTTAAAGGTTTTTGTGTCGAGGTTTGTATATAGTTTTATGCATGATGTGGCATTTCCTACAAGTGTCATCTGTGAGTGTTGTCTCTTTTAAGATATTCTTATTGTAGTTTTTATGTATTTATAACTTAATTTCATATAGACATTACTGAACCCTTCTGTTTCTCCAAAATGGCATCTATGAGTCAGCCAACAGTTTGATGCAGTTCTGTAAATGTGGTTCTGACTAAGATCATTAGGATGTCTACTTTGGAGCTGCTTCTGAGCTCAAGATTACCTGTTGGTGTCTGCATATTTTGTGTACTATGTTGCATCCAGATTGGTATTGTGCAGATAATGGCACCAGGTACTAGGAGCAAGCTGCTCGATCAACCATAATTACTACTACAGAAATGACTAAACTGATAGGCATGGTAGGAAATCAATCCAAATGCACCAACTAATATTCATGTGGTTGGGTCCAAATATGTTTGTTTTTGTTGTTGGGAAAAAAGTTTGATTTCTATTTGACTGATTCACATGTTTTGTAGGCAGAAGGCTTGTAACTGGTCTATATTGTGTAGGGAAGCCTGGTATTGTTGTTTGTCATGTATGTGATGTCCTGTGCAAGAAATTTTGGTATGTTGTATGAATTGTTGACTGTGTTGTTGAAAATTTCTGGCTAGTTCCTAGTGCAAAGATGCAAATTTTTTGTACCAGAAATTGTAAATGTTTGCAAGTTGTGTTCTTTGTTTTGTATTTTGGATGTCATGTATGTTTATTTTGAATCAATCACCACCATACCAAGTTGTCATTTTTACACCAATCAAAATATGATTGGTGTATTTTGCACATTTTCTTCCTCCTCTTTGATTCATTTTGTTTCATTTGTGTATGTAATTGGACTGGATCAAAGAGAAGTCTGAGTTGTTTTTTTGTTGATGTGCCATTGTTCTGTAACTGTATGATATGCTTGGTATGTAGTTCTTGTATGTAAAAAGTATCTTATTGTTTGGAAATATAGATAATTTATTTTGTTTTCATAGCATACAGGTAATTGTTTATGCTGTGTGCATATTTTGATTTTCTGACCTCTTTCAATAAGTTTGATATTATGTTTTTTTAGTATATTATGTCAGACTGCTTAATTTGTAGTTTAATGTGATTTACTTCAGTTTCTAGTCTTCTTTGCCAGATAGGGCTCATGATTTGTCTGTGTTTTGAATGTGTCTGTGATTGTACCTTAAGACCATGATGCATGACTACGACGACTAAATAAAAATCCTGTAAAGTTAGTGAATATTTCTTGTAAGAAATTTGTGAGTGTATTAATCCTGTGTGTATGGTGTTACTAGTTGTAATTACTCTGTTTATGTTTTCATAAATGCATGTTATGCTATGTATGTTCTTAGAAGTGATTGTTGTTGAAGTATTGTCAATGAGTATTTGATCTTCCATGTGATCTAGTGTTTGAGTGTTGTATGTATTCTGAAACTTGTTTGATTTTTTTTCAAGCATTGTTTTGTATAATTGTTCTTTCCTGAAGGTTGTTTTGTATAATTGCTCTTTGCTCTAACAGTGAGATGTGTTTATTTTTGTGTGAATTTATCATGGAGAATGTGGAAGCTATCAAAAAAATTAATATACTAAAAAAAACAAATGTCTTTGAATAAATTATCATAGGCAAGTTAAATCATCTTATATAAAAACAAATGCCATGTAATTTTTAATCATAAAAAAAAATTATGTGACTTTCAGTCCAGCCCCTCGTTTATAGTTAATTGGTGCCTTTGTCTCTAAGCTTTCCATACTTGGTCTCAATTTTCATCTATCTAACTCCATTCTAGATTAACTCTTTAAACACAAAATCAGCCAATGAAAAAGTTGTCTGACTGGTTTTGCTATACAAGTTCCCTTGTAGCTTGAGGAGTAAAAACAATTTAGTCTCTAGCTACATAGTAATAGAAAGTTTTCAGAGCTTAAAAAGTTAAGGAAGGAATAACGGAAGCAAGAATCTACAGGTCTGCAATTTGAAAACTGCAACCCAATAAAAAGTATTAATAAATCATGCTAGCACATTTGACTCCATAATATTAAGATATATTAAAATAATAAAAATGACATGCAAATTCATTGATAATTCAGGATTGTAAAAGTATTTATAAGCTTGTTATCTTTTGATGAAGAGCTTTATGCAAATATACTTTAAAATGAAATCAAAAGAACTCTAAAAAAGCTGGCAGTATTGTTGCTTTACTTTCCTGGCATTCTTTATTTTTTTTCATTCCTAACAATTGCTACAGTTACCTTTAATTCTTCAGACTGGTTAAGGAGATAAAGGCAGTGGTGGCAATATCTCCTGAACCAACCAACATAAAACATAAGATTTAAAGTAACTGGCCAAACTTGAAGGTATAGTAAAGGAAGGAATAGGATAGGGAAAAAGGGGTGAGTGAGGGAAGAGTGGAAAGAGAAGGGGTAAGTGTGTAGGGGGTGGGGAGAGAAAAAAGAGGGAGAGGAGGGTGAACAGTCCAATTTTGCTGAAAATTTCTAGAAACATTTCCCTAATACACAGACATCACTGCAAAATTTTATAAATTTTTGACAAAAGGCACAGGAGTTATTAATCTTCAAAGTGGATGAAAAAATCATGTCCTCCCATACATACTAATATCCATGCATACAGAAAACCCCCTAATTTTTTGCATTTCTCCATGTTTCAAGATCCTAAGTCCAAAAATGTAAAAATCTTGGAAAAGGTCATTTTTTGACCAATTGTCATGTCATACTTTCTCTCTGTTATATAACAGTTGGAAAAGTAAAAATAAAATTGTAAGGAATTTAAGAACTAGGAATCAGATGCTACACTGTTTAATTAATTATTAATGAAGTTAAAAAACAAAATGCTTCTGTTGTTATTGGATTGTGTGAAAGCAGTTTTTCTTATTGACAGCAAATTTTGATTATGAATTTCAAAATCAGTTGTCTTAACTATAAACTTCTTCCTGAAATCAAGGATCACATTCCCTCCAGCCTATGACTGAGTTCAGCAGAAAACAGTTCCAAAGCTGTTGAGTATTTTTCCGCTGAACACCCTCACCAGTTGTACAGTTTTGGAACATGTAATATCAAAACACCAAACATTTAAGTAATTTCATTTACACTACCTTTTGTTAGCTGCAAGTGGTCAATGATGGCTATGCCCTTGCAAGAAAATAAAGATATTGTGAGAATCTGAACTTTAACAAAAATTGGTCATAGATGTCATCATACTTGTTCGATAATTGCTGTCATCTACTACCTGAGAAAATCTCCACTTACAATTAATTACAGTACTGAGTATGTACTATTTAGTATATATTGGGTTGTTCGGAAAGTAATTTCGTTTTTTTACCACTTACGAATTAGTCGTATTTTTCCCGCCATTTTTATTCTAAACTGTATTATCATTATATATTTTGACAGCTAGCATTTTAAGGCTTCTTTATAAAAAATTTTGTTTGATTTCGTGCAATTGTTTATTTTTTGTGTCCCATCAAATATGGAAGATCGAAAGCAGCATCTTTGGCATATTTTGCTTTTTATTACCAAAAAAATAAAAATGCCGTTCAAGTGAGAAAAAAATCATGTGACATGTATGGTAGAGATCTGTTGACAGAACGACAGTGCCAAAACTGGTTTACAAAATTTCGTTCTCGCAATTTCAGTATTGAAAATGCTCCACGTTATGGATGGCCAATTGAAGCCAATGAAACCAAAATAAAAGGTACCGATTGAAGCAAACTGCCGAATAACAACACGTGAAATCACTAAGAGATTAAATTTGTCAAATTGAACTGTTTATGATTACTTGAAACAAATTGGTTTCATTTCAAAGCTCGATATACGAATTCCACGAGTTCTTAAAGAGAAATGCTCTATTTGGTGGGATATTAAGGAAATTTTTTTTGGAGCTTTTACCAGACAATTTAACAATTGATTCGAAAGTGCACTGCATTCGAGTAAACAA